TCAAATCGCGGTATCCCGTCGGTCCAACCGCGCGTTGACCGCGGTTTGACCTCTTTTTTTTTAATATTCTGTTTTTTTTAATTCTGTGTTTTTATTATTCGATAAATGTTAATAATAATAAAAAAAATTAAAAAAATATACTTAATAAAAATAATTTAGTTATATGTTTTGTTAATAATGATATAAAAATTTTAAAAACATATTCGATAAATGTTAATTAATGATAACAAATTTAAAGAACATTATTAAAAAATTAAAAATGTATTTTTATCATTTTAATAATCAAAATTTCAAATTAATTCGTTTATCTACTTAATTATTAATAATTTTACCTTGATTAATTATTTACTTTTATGTAAATAATTATTACATAGAACGTAACATAAATGTTCAAACTATTAATTTTATAATTTTAATTATGAAAATATTAAATTAATTACTTTATGTACTCCATTATTAATAATTCAAACTTTTTTTAAGATGTTTTGACATGGAATGGGTAAACCGGATATGATTAAGACGAGAAATAAGGAGAGAATGGAAGGTCGTCGGGGTAGAATTACGGGGACTGGTAGGAAGGAAAATGAAGAAAAAAATCCACCTAAGGTTAGAAGGAAGAAGAAGAAGAAGGCGGACGTAGTGCGTCCTGGCGGCCACCCTACTGTGGGGCAGTTGTCTCTTAGTCGAGGTACTACCAGTACTCCTACACCAGAGAGCGCACCGGGATGGCAGGCTAATTGGAGTGATTCCATTGACGAGGATGATGATGATGACGGTGATGCTGAGGTTGTGAATGCCCCAGATGCTGGTGATGCTGGTGATGATGCTGAGGTTGGGGATGCCCCACCTCAAGCTGATTTAGGCGTGGGGAAGACGGCGCGGGTCGTGATATCTTCTACTGCCTCCTCACACTTCCGTGGGCCCGATGGACGCCATGCGTCCAGACCTAGTAGCGAGGAAGGCGGAGATGGAAATAGGAAGAGGAAGACCACGAGGAAAGATATGTCGTGGTTTCTTACATCCGAGTCTCAGATGTGTTCAGGTGGACCAGTGATTCCCGATGTGATCCCTAGCTTTGGAGGTCACATTGGCTTTGTATTGTGGACTTCCCCTAAGCAGGACCGTGGAGTGTTGGACGGCTTCCATAGGCCGAAAGCTGTAGAGACTTTGAGGCGATATAAGTGGAGTGCAGAGGGTTCCAAGGAGATGGTTGAAGCCACAGGAATGTCTCACTTGACAGGGTGCATGATGCAGCATTTAGACATGGCTCTACTGTCGGCATTTGTGGAGAGGTGGCAGCCGGACACAAACACCTTGCACATGCCATTTGGAGAGATTTCGATCCTTCTATACGATGTGCATCACATTCTTCGTATTCCGGTTGATGGAGAGCTAATGGGAGATGAGGCGTCGCCGGATATTCTTAAGTCAGGCATGGATGGTCTAGTTCGACTTTCGGTGGATGCTCATGTTGGTGGTAAGTGGAAGTCTAAGTGGTACGATAATGGTGCTATCCATGCAGAGGGATTGTTGGTGCGTGGGGAAGAGCTGAAGATTAAGGAGATGGAGGTGCAGCGTTACCTATTTGTGTACCTGGGATCCACTGCTACCTCGAACAACATCAACCTCAGAGCTTCTAGAGTGACTTTCGTATTCAACTCTCGAAATGGTTTTCCATCCGCTCGGAGCAGCTTCTTTTGTCGGGAATCCTCTAGAAGCTTCCTGATTTGAAGGTGTTGAGCCTCAATGTAATCATCGTTCTTCTTGAATACCTACAGACAATGAAGAACAATTAGGAGACTACTAAAACTTATGTGTGTATCAATGAAGATTTATTAGGAGACTAACTGTGTCGACTGCGCCTGTAGATGATTGAAGCCACTTCTTGAAGGAGGAATGAGCAGCTTCAACCCTATTAGAGCTTGTGTTACCCAAATGCCGCACTTGATTGGTAAAACATTTAGCCCACATGTGTCTAACTGGTAACCACTCAGCTGCCATATACCCCCAAAGACATCGGTACTGTACTCCCCAACTACGTCTGAAATTGTCTAAGGCAGTATCCATGTCTTCCACGGTCAATGCATATACAGCACGTTGCCAAGACGCCATGATATGATCCACTGTCGGTTTGGCTACATCTATACCACAATGAGTCGTCCTTCGCACCTCCGCTAGACACTTTGCTCTCACATTCCTATCTATATGCCAAAGACATAATATATGAGTAGATGATGGAAACATTACCCCCACGGTCTCAACCAATCCTCCTGCCTTGTCACTGACAAACACATCTGGAACAATGGTGCCAAGAAGATGTTGCAAATGCATCAGAAGCCACTAGTACGACTCCTTCGTCTCGTCGTACACTATTGCAGATGCAATGACAAAGTTCAATCCCACTGGTGTCATGCCGACAATCTCAACCCAAGGCATATCATACTTATTGGTCTTGTATGTTGCATCTATCACGATCACATGGTGCCAAGCTCGCAACATCACTATTGACTCGGGGTGGGCTAGGAACAAGTGTGTAAGCACGTTACGATCGTCCATATACTGCACATAGTAACCCTTCTCCTGCGCCACGTAGAAAGTATATTGTAAGGCTGTCATCTGACCAAGCTCTTCTTTCCTTATCTTTTGCAACTCGTTATGAATCTGCTTTCTGTTGTGTGTTCCATTTGCACCTTTTCTCTCATTCACTGCCTTGTGGATATTCCTTGGTGAGACACCGGCTGATCTCAGCTCTCTGATGTATTGTTTATCCTCTGTAGTCAAAACATTCCTTCCCTTTGATCCCTCCGGAAATAGCTCCAACTGCAAGTGACTTGCGGTTCCACCATGGTCCAACCGCAGCTCAGTTGCGGTTCAGCCATGGTCCAACCGCAAGTGACCCGCAGTTCCCATTTTCTGTGTTTTTTTTTATTTTTCAGTTAATGTTTTTACCTCGTCGGAGTCGCTACTCATGATTCAGACGTCCTACCGACGATATCGGCTTCAAAATGACGATGCTGGATTTTTCTCTCCTTAGATAGTGTTTTTTTAGTCCAAGTGGTGTTTGTTTGCTAAAGAGAAGGTAAAGAAGGTAAGGGGGTTAAAAGTGTAACTTTGATACTTTTTAGGGCGACCTTTAGCAATTTTAAAGGCCACCTTTAGCAACTCCTTTTTAGTTTTTTTTTTTTTTTTTGCATATGAGGAGGCCCACGGCCGAAGAAGAAAGAACAAGGGGGTACAAGCAGAAACAGAAGGGTTACAGGGAGGGGGCTGGAGAGTTCACTACAATGTTCCTCAGAGTTGTACTTCCCGGTTGATCATCCTGGAGGAGAGGGAGAAGCTCTTGCGGTGGGGAATCCAATTCATGCATACCAAAGGGATAGACGAGACTGTGCTTCGAGAGCTAGTCCGCGACTCTATTCCCTTCCCTGTATACATGTACCATATTCACCACCCAGTCTTGGGAGATCTTTCTCCGGATCGCTGTGAGCAAAGCTGCATACGGGTGCAAAGGGTCCATTCTGTTCTTCACCAACTGGATGGCTAGTTGCGAATCTGTTTCGATGATGAGGGCTCTGTATCCAAGATTCCATCCCAGCTTCAACCCATGGTAAATCGCCCACAGTTCTGCCAAAGCAGCCGAGCACGACCCCAGTCTCGACACAAAACCTCTCACCCAACTGCTACTGTCATCGCGCAACTCCTTTTTAGTTACCGCCTTCTCTTTGTGAAAGAAATACACAGCCATATTTATGGAGATTAACTCGCTAACCACTTATGCTCCAGAAGAGTAGTTGAGCTGTTAGTATGAAGTTGGGCCAGGCCTTTACTGATACCTGGTCCCATTGGGAAAGGACTTCTTATGAAGGCCCAATCTTTTCTAGCGCGATGGACTTCTGTATATTGGGCCTTTCAAGAGATCATGCCAACAGGAAAAATTGAAGGAAACGGGGGAGAGGAGGGCTTCCGGTTATTAGGTGAAAGGACAGTCGCTCTCGCCCGCCCGCATGTTGTTTCGCGTTCTCCGGTGAGCTTACAGATTGCCCGGCGACATCTCCGGGAAGGTAACATCCGAATTTTCCACTGTACGCGTTTGTCAGTATTTGATTTGCTTCTATGCGTCATGGTTCTGTTTCAGTCGGTTGCGATTCGGGCGATTGAGATTAGGAAGAAGTCACCGGGGTTTCCCTGTTACTCGATAATCCCTACTTTGTTTCAATTTAGATAGATTAGGGTAATTGGATACTTGGAAACAGCTGTGTTTTATGCTAATGGTTGTATCGGGTGAAATGTGCGTGGGTTTTCAATCTGTTTCCACCTACAATGCTTCAATTGGGTGGGACTTGATTCAGGAATGATTAGGGATTTGGTTGTTGTTTTTTTTTCCCACAAAGACTAGTTGAAGATGGCTTTGTTTTTTGGTTTGTGGAACCCTCGCTTCAGAAGGATTCCTGTAATCTTTTGTCTATGTTTTCAGCAATGTTAATGGTGAAGGGTTGGATTTTGCTAGTTCCACCACCTTCAGTCAAACTACCTATCCAGCAAAATGCGCTGTTTGTTTTGTCGATCAATTAATTGGAAATTAATCTTTTTTGTATCAGGGGTGAAAGAGATAATTGGAAATGAAGCTTTAGAGTATGTTATGGACATCCAATTAATTGAAGTTAGAATTTTCAAGCTCCAAAGTAGTGTATACGGGTGTTCTTGCACTGCATTTACCTATCAAAGTCAGGAAAATAAACATAATTGTAACTTGTCTCCGATAACTTACTTGGCTAATATACTCGTTATGTTCAATCTTTCAGCTCATTATGTAGTAGTTTCTGTTGCTGTTATAGAACCTATCATTGTTGTATCAAATCATTTCAACTGCACAGTTGCTTGTTGTAGATGGAGGTGCAACCAATTAATCACATGAAACAAGAACGAGCCAGAACAAGGTGGACCCCGGTCCTAGATAAGGTATTTGCTGACTTGGTTGTGAAGCAGATTCAGCTTGGAAACAGAAGAAACAATGTCTTTGATAAGAAGACTTGGAACACCATACGAAACGAATTCAACAAACAAACCGATCTCAATTTCAACAACCCAGTTGAGAAAACACTTTGATGTCCTCCGGACACGCTTCTTCAGCCTAACGAAGTCTTCTTCCTCTGCTCAAACTGACTTTGCTGCAATTGATGAGTCTTGCTGCATTGCATTTGACCTTTGGGAAGACTGCTCGGTGCGTTAATTTTTGCTTCTAAAGTCTCTGATTATTTTAATTCTCATTGCGTTCTGTTTGTTACATCCACTTCTTCTTCTGAGTTCCAGACACCAGTCAGGCAGGAGACGGGCAAAGTCAAGGACTGCCCGATATACGGTCAACTGTGCACGATATTTTCAGATACATCGGTAGATGGGAAATATGCTCAATCCAGTCACTTTGAAGGACTGGATAATAGTGCAACACATGCAGTTCCTTGTCCAGAAGCATCCCATCCTGAGAACGAAGAAGATCCCCCAACTCCAATGCCAGTACTACAACCCTCGGAAAAAGCTGTTAAGTCCGTAGGAGAGAGGAAAAGGAAGCAGCCATCCGAAACACATCTGGAATTGGAGCAGGACGGTGGTGGTGATGAACAGCGTGAATCTGTTGCTGCAGCTTTACATGATATGATCGCAGCTTTCAAAGAGAGGGAAACAACTGCGAAAACTCAGAGGAGGGACGAAAGGTATAGCATAACCAGTTGCATCAGAGCTTTGGATGAGATTAAGGGTGTCGACCAAAGACTCTATTTTGCTGCACTGGATCTCTTTGACGATCCCAGCTTGAGGGAGACGTTTATGTCGTTGAAAGGTGACGCGTTCAGGTTGGCTTGGTTGCAGGGGAAGTGTGATGGGTTTAATTTTTCGACGCTTTTCGGGTTTTAGAGCCATGTCACCATAGATGTGTAGTCTTTTTACTAGAGAGCTTGTTGATAGAGTTACTGACGAAGTTCAAACTAATGGATCGGATTACAGCAGTTCAGACTTCAGAAAGCTATTGCTGCTAAATACCATTGTAATTGTTTCCTTTACTGCCCTACTGCCTGATAGCTAATCAGATGACAACAGAGAGACTTCACCTTTGACCATCCTTTGATTTCTCTCACCTAACTCAAAACCAGGATCATATGGTTAGAAATTGAGGTCAATGCCACAAAAGAGACTTGACCTGCTCATCTGAAGCGTTTTTTAAATTGACCACAAATGAAATGTTGTTTGTCATGTAATTAAGTAACAAAATGGCGCCAAAATCATTTTAGCACAGCATGTGTGGCTCAATTTCTCCGAACAATAGGCAAAACAAGATTTCAAGGTTCCATAAATGGGATTTCTGTTATAACTCGAGTCATCAGGTTACAATTGTTGCTTCGACAACCAAGGAAATTATACACTCTTTTTAACTTTCTGGTCTGAATCATCTTTTGTATTAAGCCGGTAGATGTTCAGCATTTCTTCCTCCAATGGATGTGTCTGGCCTGTTATCACAAGGCAATGCAAAGGTGAACCAAAATCGACTGAAAGTAGTTGCTTCATTGGCCCAGCAACTATCTTCTGGTCCTCACTTCCCACCCGGGCAAACCCAACACAATCGGTATCTTCATCGTATGCTGCAGAACAAGTCACATTTCGGGACAGTCAACTAAACTGATTAATCCAGAATACATATTTTTATCATGACATCAGAACAATCCTGTAATTTTGCAGCATGAACAATGAGCATAAGGAAGTTTTTTCAGCTCATAGTGGGGACCTTAAGTTTTTGGCAATCAATTGCTAGGCAATGATGTCCAATGCAGGAACCCATTGACATGGAAGCTTGCTTAAAGCTTTCTGACCGCAGACTTTTAGAACAAAGCAATTGGCATTCAAACATGTATATAGATTTCTAGGGTTTCTCTTTACATACCAGATCCTTCGCGCTTTTGTAGAACTTCCAGCAGCTGCTCGATTGCAGTGTTTATAGTCATGTACCTTGGTGGTTCATACTTCTTCTTCCCCCTGAATAGAAAAGCAAGCAGAGAGAATCGGTTTAAGAACAAAAGTAATCTACAGGTAACCAAAAGGCGTAAACACAATGGTTGCTTTCTGCGTATCCAAACCTCGACAAGGACTCCCACGAAGGCTCCTTCACTCGAATATCTACAGCAACAAACCCAAATGTAAGAATTTCTCCACACATTCTCAAAAAAACTTGCAGCAAGTTTCCGTGGCTGAAGAGGATCAACCACAAACATCTAATTCTCACCTAGCAAGCAGAGAGTATGCAATCCAAGCTCCCTATTCTTCTGTATCTTCTCATAGAAGCTATCAGGCCTCCAAACATCAGTGAAGAACGGAATCGAAACAGTCTCGCCATAACGATAGAGCTGCAATCCACAAACCCCAATCGCATTCATCACGGACGCATTGTGCACTACCTTAACCCCAATCCCTAATTCCCTAGCTCGAACCACTAGATCACTATGCGTCGTAGCTCTGCCAAATCTCCACAAATCAGCTCATTCACCAATTTCAAAACAGAACTAGCTCGAATAAGATGAGAAGTTTTCCTACAATCTCACCCGAAGGGATCTCCGACGACGAGGAAGGCGACATCGGAGGCACCAGCGGCGGACAAAATCTCGTCGGCTTTCTCCTCCACCATCTCCCTGTCGGCGATTGTAATCGGCTTCCCGTACAGATTTTCCTGCTCCCATGGAATAAAATTTGATCAGGACTGACAATCGACATCGGAAGAAGAACAAGAAGAAGAACACTTACCAGAGTAGCGATTCCGTCGTCGGAGAGGCCGAAAGAGAGCAAAGAAGTGTAAGCTTCCATGAACACTTTCTCACACTTCTTCACTGCTTCTAACCCTCGCAGGGTGATATCCTTCTCGTCGCCCAATCCCAACCCTATTACGTACAGCATCCTTGTTCTTCTTCCTCAGTTCCTCCTTCTTGTTACTGGTTTCCAGCTATGGCTTCTCCGCTAAAACCTAACACGTGACGAAAGGCGGAAAGGGGGACTCGAATGTTTCGTTTCTTTTGGAATTGGAGCTGAAACAAAGTCAAAACAAAGGTCAAAGCCCTAATAAAACCCCTGCGGCCTCAAAGGGCAAAGCTCAGGTATCTGCAGAAGCTGCTTGTAGAAATCTGAATCTGGCTGTAGCAAATCTGGTCAAGTCTATAGAGCAGGGTGTTTTGACTGGTTGGCAAGGGTCGTCTGATGAGGTGCTGCCCACTGAACATGAGCTCCAAACAGCTATGGTGGACTCTGTTGTGAGCAAGTCAGCAAGCCAGCCATTAATCACAGAATTTGAAGGAGGAAACGTGGGATACAAGGTTCTACAGAGGGAAAGAAATCGTGCAAATGGTGGATGATTTGATTCGGCAAAGGATCCACGCAAGAGAGGCTCTTAAGGAAAGAATTTCAAGTTGCCTCACTCTGACACTAACGGGTAGCTGTGAAGAAGTATAAAAGATCAGAGTCAAGTAATTGAAGTTGCTTTTCGGGAAAATCTCGTTCAAGAGTACAAAGAGAGTTGTAAGCAACGAGAGATAGGAAGAGCGGCTCTAAACACTAGATCTGGATTGATAGTGTTTTAGAGGTTGGGAAAAGTAGCTGGATAGCTGAGGAGAAAGAAATACTGGGATAAAAGGATTATCCTTCCTGTAAGGGTTGGGTAACTAAGTCTAAGAGTGTATCTCTGAATCGGAGCAACAAACGCAGCATACTTAGTGGATTGGCGAGAATCACACATCAGTGATATCTCGTCCATGGATTAGTCAGAGTTGGGGATCATTTTACCCAGCTCTGGATACCACGTAAAAACGTGTTATAGCCTTTATCGTTCTTGTTACCTGTTTACTGTGACTGTCTCTGTTTGCAGGACTCGGTATTCGTTGAGAAACAGGGGAGCTGAATTCGTTTGGCTCCAAGGAAACAACACTAAAGTTGTTGTTAAAACGCACAGTTTAGACCAAAGGTGGATCTGTGCACTACAGGCTTGATTCAAGGCCTGAATATCAGTGGGCCTAATTAAACTCAAGCCCAGGGTCTGAAGTCCATCTGTTTCTATTATCTGTTTGATTTGCAATCTCACTTTCTCAGTTCATTTGTATTTCTTCCTTCACTGATCATAGTCGAGAGTCGGGTTAGGGTTTGCAGGGAAATCTGATCGACGAAAATTAATAGGCATCTCGCGCTCGACGCCTTCAACAAGTGGTATCAGAGCAGGGTCGTCAATCTAGGAGGGTTAGCAACCCTTGGCGAGATCCAGGATGGCGTCAGGTTCTTCAAGCAATGCTCCACTGTACCTCGCGGATGGATTTTCGCAGAATCGACCTCCTCGCTTTGAAGGGGTAAATTATGGTTATTGGAAGAATCGCATGGAGCTGTTTGTTGGTTCAACAGATCCCAAGCTGTGGGCGAGAGTCGTCAAAGGACCATACGAGCTGAAGGCAGATCAAGAGAAGTGGACTGATGAAGGCTATGAAAAGTTTCAGCAAAACTGCAAAGCTACAAACTTGATGTACTGTGCGTTAGGTCCAGAGGAGTACCACAAGGTGGCAGGATGCAAGACAGCAAAGGAAATCTGGGATAAGCTTCAGGTAACTTACGAAGGCACTTCTCAAGTCAAGACATCTAGAATCAACTCGCTTAAACATCAATTTGAGTTGTTCAAGATGGAGGAAGGTGAAACTATTCGTCAAATGTATGAAAGGTTCACCAACATAGTGAACAGCCTCGAGAACTTAGGCAAATCATATGAAAGTGGAGATTTGATAAGGAAGATTCTGTGGAGTTTGCCTGATAAGTGGACACCTAAGGTGACTGCAATTGAGGAGGCAAAAGATCTAACTTGCTATAGATGAGCTAATCGGATCACTGTCCACTCATGAGGATAAACTGATGAAAGGAGGAATCGAGAAGGAGAATAGTGATAAAGGAAAAAGAGGAATTGCTTTCAAGGCTACAAGTTTGTCTGATGATGCAGAGGAATTAGAAGACATGGAAGATGAGGAGCTTGCTCTGTTGAGCAAACAGATAAGTCGGCTTCTGAGGTTTCGAAAGGAGAAAAAATTGGGAGGATCAAAGTCACGGGATATTGACATAAACGAAGGTACAACTAAGATTGGGCAAGCTCGGATAGTTCCAAAAATTAGAAACGAAGGAGGTTCGAAGGGGATTGGATCTACTGGCTGCTTCAAATGTGGGAGATCTGGACATATTAAAGCATAATGTCCGTTTCTTAAGCGTGAAAAAGCCTATGCTGCAACTTGGAGTGGGAGTGAAGAAGAAGGAGATGAGGATGATGAAGTCACAGTACATCGATCATACATGGCTGTTGTAGAGGAGACAGAGGAGGAAGAAGTCATGTCTCAACCTCAACTGAATCCACAGAGATGTCTTCAAGTGAGCATGGAGACCTCTGAGTGGATTATGGATAGTGGGTGCTCACATCATATGACAGGTAATGAACTTTTGTTTTCAAAACTGGAATTAGGAAAATATGGTAAGGTTTTCTTTGGGGATAACAATTCAGCTGAGATAATTGGAAAAGGTCAAGTAGGGTCGTGTCCTTCCATAAGAAATGTCATGCTAGTCAAAGGTTTAAAGCACAATCTCATGTCAATAAGTCAAATGTGTGGCAAAGAATGCAGGGTCATTTTTGAACCTAACTGTTGCTATGTGGAAAACATTAAGTCTAAACAGATTCTGTTCACAGGAAAAAGGAATGGTAAAATTTACTCAATAGATCTAAATGATAAAGAATGTTTTAATGAGACGTGTCTAATAAGCCTAGATAAAAATCTGCAAGAAGATTGGCACAGACGTCTTGGTCATGTAAATGTGAACACTCTATCTAAACTAGCTCGACTAGGATTGGTTAGGGGTTTACCTAAGATAAATGAAAAACGAGAGTTCTTCTGTGATGCGTGTGCCAAAGGGAAGCAAACTAGAACCAGTTTTAAGAGTAAACCAGTTATATCCTCTTCCAGACCTTTAGAACTTCTGCATCTAGACCTGTTTGGGCCTTCAAATGTGACCAGCTATGGGGGAAAGTCATATGCCTTTGTGGTAGTGGATGACTATTCAAGGTTCACGTGGGTTCTCTTTCTAGCCAAGAAGGATGAGGCTTTTGAACAGTTTAAGACCTTAACCAAACGCTTAGAAAATGAAAAAGTGTCTAAAATTGGGAGCATTCGAAGTGATCATGGGGGAGAATTCTCCTCTGAGCCTTTTGAATTATTCTGTAATGAATTGGGAATTTTTCACAACTTTTCTGCTCCCAGAACCCCTCAGCAAAATGGAGTAGTTGAAAGAAAAAACAGAACCTTAATAGACATAGCTCGTACAATGCTACATGATTATGGGTTACCTAAATACTTTTGGGCTGAGGCAATAAACACTGCATGTTATGTAGTTAATAGAGCCTTAATCAGGTCAGGATTAAACAAAACTCCTTATGAGTTGTGGAAGGGGAGGAAACCAAACTTAGGATACTTTAGAACCTTTGGATGCAAGTGGTTTGCATTAAATACTAAGGATAATATGGGGAAATTCGATGCAAGGTCTGATGAATCTGTGTTTCTGGGGTACTCTAACACCAGCAGGGCTTACAGGATATTTAACAAACGGACCCTCAAAGTTGAGGAGTCCATTAATGTTGTTTTTGATGAAGCTACTGTTGAGATTACAGAGTTACCAGATGATGACGATTTTGGTTTGGGAAGAATGTCTTCAATTGGCTCAATTCAGTTGCTGAGAATCAGTCACTTGAGGAAGAGCTACCTGACCAGTCAAAAGCGGATCATCAGAATCAGGAGTCTCAGCCAAATGAGAAAGAAAGTGCAGAAGAAGGTCAGTCTTTACCAGCTGATCCTCAACCCCCTGCACATATAGCCAAGAGACATCCACCTTAGCAGATAATCGGACCAATCAACAAAGGTATGTATACTCGCTCTAAGGCTCTGCCATCTCATACTGCCTTTGTGTCTCTTATAGAACCTAAATCGGTAAAGGAAGCTCTGTTAGATGAATTCTGGACTGCTGCCATGTTTGATGAGATGCATCAATTTGAGAGAGCAAATGTATGGGAACTGGTACCTAAACCAGAAAACAGAGTAATTATAGGAACAAAATGGATCTATAAGAACAAAACTGATGAAGTAGGAATTGTAACCAGAAATAGGGCAAGGCTGGTAGCTCAGGGTTATAATCAGGAGGAGGGAATAGATTTTGACGAAACATTTGCACCAGTGGCTTGTCTAGAAGCAGTAAGAATGTTATGTGCTTTTGCAAGCGCTTCTAAAATCAAACTCTATCAAATGGATGTGAAAAGTGCGTTTTTGAATGGGGATTTGAAAGAGGAAGTCTATGTAGCACAACCTCCAGGGTTTGAAAATCCAAAATATCCTAATCATGTGTATAAATTAAAGAAGGCTCTATATGGTTTGAAACAAGCTTCCCAGAGCTTGGTATGATAAATTGAGTTCAATTCTACTAGAAAATGGTTTTCTTAGGGGATCAGTTGATAAAACATTATTTACTAAGAGAGAATCAGGCCATCTCTTGCTAGTCTAAGTTTATGTAGATGAAATCATCTTTGGAGGAACTAGTGAAAAAATGTGCTCAGAATTCGAGAAACTTATGAAACACAAATTTTGAGATGAGTCTTATGGGAGAGTTAAATTACTTTCTAGGATTACAAATAAAACAAACATCTAAGGGGATCTTTGTATGCCAGTCTAAATACATTCATAACATGCTAAAACGCTTCGAATTTGGTAACCTCAAAACTGCTGTCACACCCATGGCCTCTTCGTTAAAAATTGATAAGGATGAATCTGGTGTTTCTGTAAATGAAAAACTATATAGAGGTTTAATTGGATCTTTACTTTATGTGACTGCTAGTAGACCTGATATTCTTTACAGTGTGTGTGTCTGTGCCCGTTTCCAAAGTGCACCTAAAGAGAGTCATTTGTCTGCGGTCAAGCGGATTTTTAGATATTTAGCTGGAACAGTAGACTTTAGGTCTCTGGTATTCGTGTGAGTCAAGTCTAGAACTAGTAGGATACTCCGATTCTGACTATGCTGGATGCACAGTTGATCGGAAAAGCACTTCAGGTACTTGTCACTTTATGGGGTCTTCATTGGTTGCTTGGTTTAGCAAGAAACAGAATTCTGTTTGCATTGTCAACCGCTGAAGCGGAATACATTGCAGCAGGTTGCTGTTGCACACAATTACTTTGGATGAAATATCAATTACTTGATTATGGCTTGAAATTTGAGTCACTTCCAGTGTTGTGTGATAACACAAGTGCAATTAACATGTCAAAAAATCCAGTTCAACACTCTAAAACG